CATGTGCCAAAACCACCGGCAGCCGCTGCTGGCCTCCAGGCCTCCACTGGTCACTGCCAAAGCACGTTTCTCTGTTAAGCACTGGGTTTATGATGCATGAGAGCTGACAACTGAGCTAGGAGCCCTTACAGCTCAGCCAGATAAAAACCAGCTGGGGCCATGCACATTAGCAGAGAAGCCATAATTGCATTTGCCCTCTTGTACACCACTAAACTCATTCTGTTGACTTAAAAAAAAAAGCCATAAGGCAAGAGAGGTCTCAGTAATTCTTTTTTTCAGAAATAAAAATACCTGCTCCAGTGCAGGCAGATTTATTGTTGGATGTGGGTAATTTAACATACGAGTAGTAGTGTAGTGGATGGGGTGACAGAGCTTTTTTTCTTTTTTCTTTAAGCGAGAAAAGTGTATTTTCAACATTTCTCCCTGCCTGTGGGTGGATGTAAGTGATGGGTTTATGGTGGTTTAGAAACATCAGTACAGCATGGCTGACATCTGTGTCCGCTTTATTTTTGGACTGCTTGAAAAGCCCTCATAGTCGGATGATGGATGAAGTGATAAAGTTGGAGAGAAGACAAAGTGAAAGCAGAGGAGTCCATTTCTGGGAAACAGTGTGTGATCTGTAACTCAGAGACAAGTCAGAAAAGAAGCATCGGGGCAGATGTTTGTAATTTGTGACTACGCCTAATGATTTTAATGCAGGAAATTTCACAGCGTCTGACAGCAAAGGAGAAGACACAACAAAAAATTCTGGAGATCAATCGATCGATTAAAAAAAAAAAATCTGCATTTTTAAAATCTAATTTCTCCCAGTGTTTCATCTGCACCGGTTTGGGCTGATAGAGAGGTTAGAGGCTTGTCATGTAATGAAGGGGCAGCTCCACAGTCTGTCACCATTAATCATCAGGGCTGTCAGGCTGCTCCAAGGACTCACTTATATCAACCAGAATAATACCAGAAGGCTTTTTATACATTACAGCAAAATGTGTTCGCAACACTGGTTTTAAATTAGAGTGCTAAATTTAAAAAGAAAACAAAGACGTCTGCAACCAACACATTGGAAAAGCAGCGCTGTTATGTGATGGATGAAACCATGGGTAAACCATATTGCTTAAATATAGATGTAATAGTCAGTGGGTGCCCTCCATCTCCCCTCCTGCTGCTTCTCAGTTCCCTTTGCACAGAACATTTCGTCCCCCCAAAAAAGGTTTGAGGAAAAAAGAAATAAATATAATGAATACTCAAAACAAACCTGAATCAGTGGTTAATAAGTAAAGTATGTTTACAATGTTTAAAATGCAAAAACTGTAAACATTGTGTCCCTTTCTATGAAGATTTCATACAGTCAGCAGCTCTGTGAGGTTGCTGCAAGTCAGCGCACACATGACTGTGTTCACTGACTTTTATACAGTCAATGAGCTGTGCCAAGTGGTACTCTCCAGAGATAAAAAACCCCCAAAAAAACATGAACCCGATGCAGAAGATCCTCTCGGTGCCATTTAAGGCTGGCTGCTAAATGGAGTCCTTGTCCTTAGACTGCCATGTTAAAATGTTCAACTATACAGCATAAAAAAAAAGCATATTAACAACCTGAATACAATTTTTGGCCTCTATGTATAGTCTTCCCATGAGTAACACATCTCAGTGAGTTTTTTGTTGTTTTTTGTTAACAACACATCCATCTGAATACTGGAGTTGGGTGCATGACCCCATTGACTGACAGGTGATAGTGCGGTCATGTGTCTGCTAGGCCTCATCCACTATGTTGGAGCATTTTTAATGGTTTATCTGAATAATACTGTGATGTGCTATGTGATGCAGACCATCCTAGAATTTACCATAAAACTGAAATATTTCATTAGTCTGTTGCGTGGCGCTAATTAGCCTGTATGTTTGTTAATGGTTTTGCTAACCAAGCTAGCTAACGCTAACTGAGACGTCCAGCTTCTTAATTCACGTTATTTCGTTGCAGTCAGGGTTGCTGTCTGTAACATCCTGCAGCTAGAAAGCCTTGGTGTGATTGCCATCGCTGAAGAAAGAAGAAATGTTGTGCACGTGGTTTGTTGGCTTTGCAAGTGATGGTGCAGCTGCTGCGATGGGCTGATAGAGGGGAACAGTCACGCTCCTTCGTGGAAAGATCAACCATAACCTAACCATCATTCACTGCTTCATTTACTGACTCATTCATGCAGTGAGTCTTTTTTTCCACACATTTATTGACTTCAAAGTTGGACATCAAGACATCAGTGGAATAGGATGTCTTTATTGCTGTCTAGTGATTTTCATATGTGGGTAGAAGAGGGTAAAGTGCTGCAGACACAAGAAAGCAAAAAAAAAAAAATCTGGCAACAAAACAGTGTGATTTCTCTGGAATCTACTATAGTGCAATATTTATTAATTCTTTCTTTAAACTAACAGTATTTTATGATTATGCATTTTGACATTTTTTTTTTATATTTAATGTTAAATAAACGGTACAACTGGCCAAACAAGTGGAAGGATGGTTTAATGCTAGCATCTTAAACTGTTTGTATTGTTGCATTTGATTGTGAGTTTCTGAAGAAGAAAAGTTGAGATTAGATTTTTGCGCATATTAATTAGATTTTTCTTTTAAAATTAGATTAAAAAAAAAAAAACATTACAATGTGGTTATTTTTTTAAGAGCTGGGCGGGCCTCAAGACCTCTGTGGTTACTGAATTATTTTCATAGCATTTTTCTGTGTTTTTATAATGAAAATCCTGTCAGAGATTTCTTCCTGTTAAAAGGGAGTTTTTTCTTCCCACTGTCTCCAAGTGCTTGTTCATAGATGGTTGGCTGGATGTTGGGGGTTTCTCTCCATGATTTTAGTGTCTCTACCTTACAATATAAAAAAGCAACTTGAAGTGACTGTTACAATTTGGCGCTATATAAGTAAATTTTAATAGAATGTCACTTGCCTTATTTAAATTAGTTGATTTAGATCTAAACTTTTATCTATATATTAAATTACAGAGAATTGTTTGGTTTTTGTAAGCTAGCTAAACAGGCTAAAATGAAAAATTAGAAAGAAATCAAGAATATTTCATAAAACAATAAAATGGAAACATATCCTGAATGCTTTTGTTTCGTGAAACCGTGTTCTTCGTCTTGTTTTGTGTAATGATGCTGTTTGTCTCACCTCCAGGTCACCGCAGAAAAGTTATTGTCTGTAGAAAATTGTTTGGCAATTCATCCCATAGGTGTTGAGTTGCTCTAAATCAAACATACTAACCTCATGGGGCCACTAGGAAAAACAAATTACCAGTGTCACCAGGATTCATTGCAAAACACCCCCTCAGTGTCCTGTGATAATATCACAGCACTGGACTGGTTCAGTTTGCCCTGGCATTAGTAAATATAAAGTCATAGTCTAATTTAAACCTTAATATTGGAAGACTGTAAATGTGTTTAAACACCAGATTGGATATTACAAACGTAATTAGAAGTTGCCAAAAGCCGCTCTATATTTTTTAATAACTTGTGGTGGTGAATGAGTTATTATCACCGTTGTAGAATGAGCTAAACATCCACTGGGGGTTGAACCCCCTAACATTTTTTGCTACACTAAACTAATATAAAGTGGATATGCTGATATTTTGTAACCTCAAATTTATAACTGATCTTTAATATTAAACTGAGGTGATACATTTCACAAGGAAAGGGTTAAATCTAAATTTGGGGTGACAAACTGTTGAGGTGTTTTCACCTCTGAAAGAAATAAACTGGCTCCCTACCCTTCAGCAAAAAGAAAGGCATGCGTGGCTTTTTTCCGTTTCTGGCCTCTTGAATAATTTCACTAACATTACTTAAACCATTTTCAAGCAAATGAGTAGAAGATTACCACAGAGGCAGGTGTTGTTGCCTCCTGGTAACATACAGATATCACTGGTCACCAATAGGTGGCATCCCAATCCATCTTTGCTACAGTAAACACAAGTGACTGATAACACCTGAAGAGGAAATGTGGAGAGAAATCCAACGAAAACAACTCAAAATATCCTCGAGTCTGGCACTAAAAGAGAGAAGTGAAACTTAACTGGTAACAACTGACAACTTATTTCTTAGAGCTAATAAACTAAAACGTGTCTGTTTTCTGGGGCATATCTGACAATATAAAACACTCAGAGAGGGGGGGGGACTGCTGAACTCAGCCCCACAACAGCAAGTCAGACCACTGAAACAGGAGTGCTCTCTCTTGTTACAGGCCGCTTTGACCCCTCTGGGAGCCTTGTCAGAGTTGTGATTGACCAGCATGGGTCATCTATACTTTGCCAAGGGTGTCACGGAGTCATGTTGCTAGGAAATGGCATATTACTGCTGCCAATCACGCGCTGGCTGCGGTAACCTGAGCAACTGTCAGGGCTCCGTCTCGATCGCACGGAAACCTGCTGCTAGTGGCTACAGTGTATATACATTACATCTCGACAGGCTCGACAGGCACAAATGCCGCCATTTTTCACGAAGCGCACTTGAACGCTAAATCTGGGAGCATTAAATCAGGATGCTTTAGCTTGAGGTTGACACGGAATAAACTGGAGCTCAACAGTAAAGCACACCCGACGTCGTCAATCAAGTAACTGTTTTCGCTGTAAGAATAGCTGCCTGTACACATCTGGATCACCTATACTGTCGCCTCGCTGACATGTATGCTCAGAAGGGTTTACGCCTGCCTTTCACCACTTCACTTGTTTTTCCTTTAAAAGGTAGGAATCTGCAAAGTGGCAGAACTGGTCTGGGAAATGTTTCGGACACTTTTCTTGTCGGTACTGATTTTTCTGAGAAGTGCTGACATAAGTAAACGTCTTGTTATTAATCACGAAATATCATTTGTCAGGTGTTGGTTGTCAAGTATTTCCAACAAAGGCAACACAGTGAATTAAGCCTAGGGTTAACAAATGCACTACAAAAAGCTAATAAAGAGAAATCTTTGACTGAAAGCCATTCACATCAGAAATGAAGACAACAAAATATACATCTTCAGTGTTGTTTATTTACTAAAATATGACCTCCCCTTTCACTGGATCCCACCACAGGGTGCTCCAGGTTTACAAAAAATATCACATCTCAGTCGATTTGCCGTGTGAAAATAAAAACAATCAAAAGAGGCGAGGAGCTCGGAGAGAGATGTGACTGTAACATTCATTCTCAGAGAAGTTTTAAGACAACGCATTCCACACCTGCCGTGTGTGCACTTGAAAACGAGGAGAGATTTATGTGGTAAACTTTACAGTCAGCTCCCCTTGTATAAAATAAATACAAGTTCTCAGTAGGAATAAAAGGAGAAAAAAAACAAAACAAAAAAAAAAAAACAAAACAAGGAATGATCACAAACCACGGGGACAAACCAAGTGTGTGCACTGCGCTGAGCTTACAGGCATCTGATGCAGGGAGAAAGCCACTGCAGTCACACTAACACCGATCCCGATGCTGGAGCTCGCTGCCATTTCAAAATCATCATCATCATCAACATTTGTAACGAGAACCCTGAAAATCCCAGAGCTGTCACGCAGCGTCCATCCATCAATCAGGCGAGTCCACAGGGCGGCAAGTGTCCTCTCAGGGCAGTCGCGCCTGCTGCAGAAGCATCCGAGCAATGTGCAGACATGCAAGAGCTGCGTGTCCACTGAATGTTAGCAGTAGATCCTGGTTTGAAACAACAAGTCTTGTATAAACAGATAATGTATAAAGAACCAAGAAACAAAAAAAAGATGAAGATGCTCTCAAGTTAAAATCCAGGAGTCGCAAGTCCCTCCCAGTTCCACTTGAAGCTGCTGCAAAGTCAGAGGAAGCAGCAAGTTGCAGTGATTAAAGTTAAAGTAACCATCAAGACGTTTTGGGGAGCGTGCTTATTAACGTCCTGGCTGAGCAGATGAACACACACACACTCAATATGAAGCGACAGCCAGCAGATACTAAGCTTAGCATACAGGCTGAAGATGGAGTGAACTCTGTGAGGGGCACGTGTTAACCTGCTCCTCAGCTAAAATCTCTGCTAGCTCGTTCAGTATTTTACCCCTTCTCCATGCTAAGCTAAGCTAAATGAACTGGCTTCATATTTAAAATAGAAATTCGCCAGCGGGGTCAATCTTCTCATCTGACTCTTAGCCAGGAAACAAATAAGCATTATTTCCCAACACGTTGAACCATTCCTCTAAAGATTTAAGTAGGTGGTGCATCACTGGTATCCTAGAGCCGACGCAGACCCCAGTCTTTGACTGTAGAGTGCGTAATGAGGGTAGTATGGACCTGTGGTGGGCAGAGAGTGCAGGGAGATGGAGGAGGGTCCAGAGGGGAGATGGACCTTACTGTAGGGGTGATAGCGAGCCAGACCCAGGCTGGGGGGAGCCCTGAGAGAAAGAGAGCTGGGCATGGAGCCTGGACTGTTCTGATGTGGGAGGTGAAGGTGGCAGGAGGCAGGCCCTGAGGAGGAAGCAGAGAGCAGCTTACTGTCCATCCCCACCGGCAGGGCTGTGTGCGTGCGGAGGTGAGCCAGGAGTTCGTCTGACGTTGCGAAGCGCTTGTCGCACGGCCCTCCGGCTGAGACCCAGTTGCAAGCGTGTGGCAGGGGATCGTTGGGGAGCATGAAGCCGTACGTGTAGAGGGGATGAGAGAGGGAGGAGGATGCACTGGATGACAAGGAGCTTTGGTGGAGAGAGTGGAGGGGGTGGGAGGGATACACCAGTGGGAAGCTGGATTTGAGGGTGGAGGAAGGGTCGTGGATGCAGGAGTTGCAGTTGCTTCCACCAAGATGGGATACACTTGGGTAACTTAGACAGTAGGGGTCCCTGCATAAACCCTGCATGAAGGAGGGAGGGGAGGCGCCCGTAAGAGGGCTGGAGCTTGGGTGCTTTCCTGGTACACCCATGCTGCCCACGCTCAGGCTCGACTTGGTCGGGTCCAGCCCAGGAACAAACTGGGATGGGTAGCCTGCGTAGCCCCCCACTACAGATCCGTGGTAGCCCATATTTGAGGAAGGCAGAGGGAAGAGCGGCTGGCTGGTCTTATAAGGAGAAATGGGCGTAATGTGTCCAGGGCCGAGGTTAGGCTGGGTGGGCTCTGCTTTGCCTGCGTCATGGTTGGAGCCTCCGTCAGAGCTTCCGTTACTGCAGTTTGTGCTGGCCCGAACGTGACTAGAGTTAGCGTGGTGCGGGCTGTCCGAGCTGGCCTTGTTTACCTCGGCGTCTTTTTTGGGATTTATGTTATTGTTGTTATTATTATTGCTGCTCGTGCTGGTGGGACTGCTCTGGTCACGTGCAGATTCACCAGTGGGACTCTGGGAGTGTGGGGCGTGCTGTCCACCTGGAGAGTGGCTCTGTTTGGAAAGCTGCTGAGCATGTCCCGGTGGGGTGCTGCTCCTGGCTCTGGAGCTGGGCGACACAGCGTGAGGCGGATAGGACTGCTGGCCACTGGTTGAATTACCATTAGCGGTAGTGCTACTGCTGCTGGGCACCCTGAAGCCGACTTTGTCACTGCCGGAGCCGCTGCTGCTGGTGGCTCCGTCTCTGCGACATTCACCGCTGCCTTTGTTGTAGGGCTTAAAGCTGGATTTGTCCTCCAGGGTGTGGCGGTGCTCGCCGAGCTTCAGGCTGGAGACAGATGACCGACTGCTGGGCTCCTTGTCCCCCTGACTGCAGGAGGAGTTGAGCTTGGAGGAAGAAGGAGGGTCCGGTTTACCAATCTGAGAGCAGGTCTGAGCAAGCAGGGCAAGAGGACTCTTCTTTGCATCCAGCTACAATAAAATTAAACAAGTTTTACTACATTTTTTAAAGCTTTCCAAAAAAACGAAACAACAAAACACCCAGAAGTTTTGTGTGACTTTGTGTAGGCCTGCTGACGGTTATTATGTACCAAATGCTTTATTGCTCTGTGCATAAAATGCCAGAGGGTTCTTTGTAACTTCCTAGAAGTTAGGGGGAGGTGTTTAAGCTTTAAGCTTCAGATGATTACAAATTAATCAGCATTTTAAAGCATAAAAACATAGGGAAAAAAGGCTTTTCTGTAACATCAATTACACTGCACTCAGTGCCTTTGTTCTTTAGGAAAACATCTGACATTTGAGAACTTCACCCTGTGCTCTGGGAAGGTGGAATGGCTTCTTTTAGACACTAAAGTAGGCTAATACAAAAAAAGCTATTCACTTAAGTTTAAAAAAATAATAATTATTATTATTAGATCACATGTTAGCAGACAACAAAAGCAAGAAAAGGATTTGATTATCTAAATCAATCTTCATTAACTTTAACAATTTATCAACAAATCAGTTTTTAATTTTGGAGTAAATTGCGAATAAAATTAAATAGATATCAGTTTATTGCAGTGTGTGTGTGTCAGCGTGTGGAGTTAAAAAACACAGACCAGAGCATATTATCAGCTCCCTGCAAATGCGGGATTGTTTTTATCTGTTGTCATAGCAGATTTCAGCCCTCTGTTGCGACATATCCACAGATCTGCAGTGTAAGAACAGTCCTCTCTACAAAAGAACGCTAAAAAAAAATAAATAAATGAATAAATAAAAGTCCATAAATACCTCGATGCTCACTGGTGCGGGTGTTAGAGGCTGTAAATATTCCGGGTGTAGCAAGTGCCCGGTGTGCGCCGTCAACATCTTGATAACTCGGATAGGAAGCCGCTTTGCCTGTCGAAGTGGGTCCAGAGGGGTCAACAAAGAGAGCGCAGCACCGGGACGGGACTTCTTAGGAACGCTGGTCTCACTGAGCTCGATCCGCGCGCTAACTCGATCAGCAGCTGATCCTGAAGGGAGATATTTCATTGGAGAGAGGGCGCAAGGGGTGGCCGTGGACGTGCGTTACTTTATTTAAAAAAAAAAAAAAAAAAACTTATAAAAAAATAGTAATAATAAAATAAAGGATAAAAAAAATAATAATAAATAAAAATAATGATTCAAAATGGGTTTGGTAAATATAATCCAGCGGACATGAAACACAGACGGGCGTCCTTAAATGTCCCGAAGGACGGAGAAGCCTTTCAGCCCCAATGCGCTACTTCATTTGGAGCATCCTCGTCCCAAACACGGCTCCTGTATTCCGACTTCAAACCCCACAAAATAAAAAAATAAATAAATAACAATAATAATAAAGTCCACAAAGAAGAGCACGGTGTCCTTTCTGGCAAGGCGCAAACGAGAAAAAAAGCCACTTGAGAGTCTGAGTGCTCGGGAAACGTCCCACTGCGTGTCTCCGTGCAGGACTTCAGCAGCTCACTGATCACAACTGGCGGACTTCAAAGTGCAGCAGCCGCCGTCCGTCCGCTGGGTGGCCGCATCGGTAATAAGCGGGGCGGGGAGGACGTTCGTGAAGGCGGAGCCAGCTCGGTCTGCAAGTGACGATCGTTACTTTTTTGATTTGTTTATCTGATCATCCGTGGGGGGGGGGTGTCACAGGGTATATTTACTCAAATACTATACTGAAATATCATTTTCAAGTATGTGGAGTATATGGAAAGCCACGAGTGCCAAAAATGAATTAAATAAGTTGTGAAATATTTAATTAAATGTGTCCCGAGTTTATAAAATTGGGAAATAAATAATTGATGATTAAATAATTATTCGTAGAATTATTTGATTAATTCATCATCATTTATTTATATAGCACTTTAAAAACACACCTGGTAGACCAAAGTGCTGTACAATACTAATATGCACATAGTAATAAAACCAGACATAGCAATAAAAATAAATAAATAAATAAATATCAGTTACCCACAGAGTTAAAAGCCAAGGAATAAAAAGAGGTTTTTAATAAAGACTTAAAAACTGGCACTGATGTAGCCTGTCTAATATGGAGAGGAAGGTTATTCCAAAGCATCGGCGCTCCAACAGAGAACGCTCGGTCTCCTCAAAGTTTCAGCCGTGACTTTGGCACCGAAAGCAGCAACTGCTCAGCTGACCAAAGGGAACGAGTGGGGACGTGAGGCTTCAACAAGTCAGACATAAACAGGTGCCAGACAATTTAGAGATTTAAAAACCAATAAAAGGACTTCAAAACGGATCCTAAATTCAATTGGAAGCCAGTGTAGAGAGGCCAAAATCGGAGTGATGTGATCAAATTTCCTTCTGCCAGTTAAAAATCGTGCCACAGCATTTTGCACTAATTGCAAGCGTGACAGAGTGCCCTGCCCAACCCCTATTAAAAGAGAATTGCAATAATCTAAACGTGAGGTAATAAAGGCATGAATAACACTTTCCAAGTCACGCTTGGAAAGAAAGGGCTTAACCTTCGATAAACGTCTGAGGTGATAGAATGCTGATTTTACCACCCTGTTTACGTGACCATCAAAGGTAAGTGCAGAATCAATTTTAACTCCGAGATTTGTGATCGAACTCTTTAGTTGGGAAGTCAAAGCTGCAAGATCAACATCTGGAGTATGAGAAAAACGATTTGGGCCAAATAAAATCGCTTCTGTCTTCCGATCATTAAAATTTAAAAAGTTTTTTGCCATCCATGCTTTGACATCAGTAAGGCAGTCAAGCAGAGGTCGACTTGGGATACTATCAGAATGACTAAAAGGTAAATAGAGCTGGCAGTCATCTGCATATAGATGGAATGGCACTTTATGTTTTCGGAAAATCGCGCCAAGAGGCAGAAGGTACAGTGAAAACAATAACGGCCCAAGAATAGATCCCTGTGGCACACCCCACAGCAGAGGGGCCACAGAGGATGAAGCCGACCCCAACTTAACACAAATGGTCCTATTTAAGAGATAGGACTTTAACCACAAAAGTGCCGAACCAGAAATTCCCACACAGTGCTGTAAGCGGGAGATCAGCAAATCGTGATCCACTGTGTCAAATGCAGCGGTCATGTCCAACAAGACCAGCACTGCATATTTACCACGGTCTGTCACTCTCAAGATGTCATTCATAACTTTTACGAGGGTTGTCTCCGTACTGTGGAATGGCTTAAAGCCGGACTGAAAGATTTCTGGCAATTTAGAGTCATTCAAGTAGTCCATCAACTGATGGACTATAATTGATTAAGAACATGCAGTTAATTATTGAATAATGTGTTTATTTAATTCATTTTGGCACTCGTGGTTTGTGCACAGCTAAATCTGAATTGGACCACAAAACCAAAGGGTTCTGTTGACACCATGCTAATTATTATGGCTCTGAAGAATAACCGTTGTATAAATTTTTATTAGATAAAATCATAGTTTTTAAAGATACATATACAAATGAGGAGAAAGTAGCTGTTTGTAAACAGATATATGCATATATAAACTGCTAGTCCATGGTTCCTATACAAACCCATGTGCATTAAACAATATGTCCATACAATTTAGTGACCGTTTTGTTGTTTTTGTTTATTAAAAACTTAGAGAACAGGATGTCTCAAACACTAAATGATGGTGTGAGTTTGCAAAAACAGCAGTTTTTACCACAGTATTCTGCAGGTCTGCAGCAATAGTCAAACATTTTACAGTTTAAAAAAGGATTTCAAGAAACAATTTGTATTTAAATTTCCATATTTAGTGTACATATGCACATACATTTTAAAGTGAAAATGAAATGAAAGTGTCTACTTGTGTCCATTTGTAATGTGTCAGTTGTAGCAGAATTAACTTGGCATCTTACTTGCCTGTGATGGTCCCTTCATGGTTTTTGAAACTGCACACAACTTTCAAGCTCCCTCACACTCACCGTTCCACATGTTCAATTACATTACAATCCACTCTGATTAGTTAAGAAGTGTGACAAAGTGGAGGAGCAGTTGCAATGCTCTCCATTTGTCCCATATGTGTTTACCTTTTCTTTGCACATTGTAAACATTATTCTGTTTCTATGTATTTGCTATGATTTGCTATTTGTCAAGTAGCATTGCTTCACTCACTATCTCGGGTTTGTTAGTGTAAGCGTTCTGTTGCCGGCAAATCAAACATTCTGCAAATTAAGACAAATACTAAGTTATGTTTCTTTATATTTTATTATGTTACAGATTAAGTCATTTGTTTATACTTACTTTGTTTGTCTTTTCAGTCGTCATAAGGGTCAGGTGTGGGGAACCGCCTACCTGGCATGTCCTCATTTTAAAGTCCTGATGATGTCACATATGACATCAGCAGGTCAAACCAAGTGGAGGGGTTTCTTTTTCCATAGAGATGCTTCCTTTTGTTTGTGTTAAGGTTTAGAGGGATTTGTTGAATGATTTCCATTAATACTGCCATTTAGTTGTGTAAATGTGCATGTTAGAAGTGTGTAGAGGCTTTGTGTTTTTGGATAATCTGTGTAGAGTTTTAGATCCCTCAGTTGAGTGAGTGGTACTGACTGGGCAATTGGAGGGAAATTGATGGCCCTATTTAAAGCCAGTCTCTACCAGATGCAGGAGAGAGGAGAGGTGAGCTGTGTCACCAGATCCATGTTATGGTGAGTATTGTTACTAGAGTTTGTTTGGGGAGGAAGTTTTGTTAAGTTACATTAAATTAAGTTCACTGTAAATAAATTGCTCACCCTGGAACCCTGAAATGTCTGCATAGTCTGCTTCCCTACCACCTTCCTTGACGTTCGAGTCTGACTACTTCACAAGAAGAACCTGCCATAATATGGATCAGTGTAGTGGCTGAATAGGCTTATTTGCTGTACACCAGCACAAACACACCAATAAGGCAAGAAATTCCACATATTAACTGTGAACAAGGCTTATCTGTTTATCAAGGACCATTCCAGGTGACAGCCTCATGAAGCTGCTTAAGATAGAGCTGATAGCGTGCAAAGCTGTCATCAAGGCAAACTCTGAGGAATCTGAAATATGAAACGTGTTTTGTTTACACAGTTTCTCACACGGCAAAATTCCATGTGTGTGAATTGATAATGTGGATGTCTTCCACTGTGTTCTACAGAAAATACATATGTAGAGTAAAGAAAAAAAATGTGGACAGTTGTTTATGCACAGATGGCCTTACATATGACTACAGAATAGTTGGGCATGCAGAGGAGTTCATGGCCTACTCAGTAACTGCAAGGTATCAGGTCCTGCGGCTCCAAAACAAGCTCAAATCTTCACCCTGGTTTTTGCCAAATATGGCAATGCATTGTGACCAAACATCTCCAAGTTGGTTTCATCAGTCCAAAGGACATTAATCCTGAAATCCTTGCTTTGTTCAGGTGAGACGTTTGCAAAGGTTTGCCATGTTGCCATGCTCTTTTCATAAACACAGAGGCCTTTCTCCTGGCAATCTTTCTAAACACGCCACACCTGTTCTGCCTTTTTCTAATTGTACGGTCATGAACTTTAACATTTAACATGCTAACTGAAGCCTGTAACTAGAGTCTAAGGTGTAGCTCTTGAATTGCTGGTGAATTTGCTGGAAGTCCCAATAAATTCACCCCATTTAATCAAATCTTGAGGCACAACATGATCCCAGAAAAAAAAAAATCAATTTAAATTAATTTAAATTTATGCATAATTTCTTTGTTTTACTGTGTTTTCTTCTTTTCCCCTTCCATTAATAATTTCATAACCCCAGATATTTCTGTTGGCCCATTGGTGAAGCTTAACTCAAAGGTCAGAAACCACTAACTGAAGGGGAAAAAAGAACTCCCTCTAAAGCTGCTTCAATATTTAATTAATGATAATGTATTACTCACAGGGCTGACCTTCTGCTGGATGAATACGTTACTTCTGATACTATAAGTTTGTTATATCCTGCATTTAAGACATTTATATGATGGAGGTTGAGTAACTGGATAAAGTATTCAAACCATTTACTTAAAGTAACAATGCAACACTCCAAAACACTCCATTAACATTATTAACAGAATCCATAAAAGAGTTAAAATAAAAATAAACCAAAAATGTCTCGTTGGAAAAACAACCAACCAAGAGGTTGGGCTATTTCAAGGAGTAGGTCAATAAATTTAAGCAGTTGTGAGATAATTAAATGGAAAGTAAAAATGAGCAAGATAAATTTCTATTAGATTTTAATACAGTGTTGACTTTTTCACATATACTGAACATTTGTAGAACTTTGTCGAAACAACGTTTTCCTACAGGGTCACAATCTAAGGATTTCCAACCACGATTTTAATCTTACAAATTACATCTTCGAGTCTTACGATTTTATGGAAGAAACTTAAAACAGTACGGTAAACTAAATGTGTTTATTTTACTGTAAACAGGAGTTTATAACTCTTTGACTTTGTTTTCCATAAATGGCAAAAGAACTTCCAAAGTAATACTGTAATAATATTTATTTTGGC